AACAAAACCGACATGCTCCCTTTCCATAGCTTTGTGGCCACTCCCACCTGGTTGAACATCACCAAGGAATAGCAGTAAAGCAAAGGATCAAGGGCTTTGTTTAACAAACACTTTAGTGACAAATCCTAAAAATACTAATAGTAATAATACCCAGAACACCAAAAGAAGCACATTTGAACCACAGGCATTACGATTTCTTGTTATTCCAAATTATCTTTTAAATTATCACGGTTTTCATTGAACGTCAAGATGACATGGAAAAAAGGAGGAAGACGAACTGCAATAACTTAAAGGTATAGTTTAGCATCTACCAAACTAAAAGCTAAGTTCTGTTATAAACAGAACTATAATTATAAAGTTATAAAAGTTCTGTCTTCCTGTGATTTTTGTTGTTTTGGGTTTGTTGGCTTTTTTAAAGATCTGTAGGGGAAAAAAGCCTCAGACTTTGCAGACTTCCCTACCTGCCACCCTGTACTTCTGTGAATTCACAGTAATTTTTGACATTTTTCCTGCTTTTGGGTTTAGACATTAATGTTGTAATGAAACATGGCAAACCCCATCAATTGGTAAGAATCCACTACTAGCTGAGTTCTTGTGGGCTATACATTATTACGCAGATGTCATGGAAAAGCTTATTAAACTGAACGAATGTACCACAGCCTACGAACGTCCTGTAGTAGAGCATTGGCAGGAGGGTCTCAAAACCCTGAAAAAAATCTGGAACCTCATATACTGCAATAATAAATCTAGCTATCTAGAAGCTTGTATCTTTCTACACTGTAATTAAAAGACAGCTTCACTCTAAGCCTTCACAATCATTTTCACATTCCTGTTAAAAAAAGAACGAAAAACCAAACCCAAACAAAACACTTGGCTAGTAGTAGACATTAATCTGGTGATGTGATTTGCCATGGCTTGCCATCTCTCTAGCTCCCATCAAAAGAAAGTCTTATTTTGGGTCAGGCGCTTCCCCGCTTACGTTTCTGGGCTTCTAAGAAGCACCTGCTGCTGCCCTGAGCTTTCTAATGAGCCATTTAGAGACCAAAGAACAAAAGACTTCCCCGTATTTTGACTTCTCCGCTCATTATCAAGGCTCTCTAAGCAGGGATGAAAGCACTCTTGACAGCTCCCCTGCAATCTAGGACCTCTTACAAGGTCCTGACAACAGCTATCTCCAAAGACAGCAGCCTAGCTCCATGCATGTGCTTCCCACAACAGTCCATGAAAGGATCAAAAAGAAATATTATAGGAAGCCTAGCTTCTTTGTCCCCCATCTCACCCAAAGAAGGTAACAATAAACCAAAAGACTGCCAATGCAACCCACTAAACCCGGAAAGACTTTGTGACTGCTAAGAACAGCAGCTTACCAGCCATGGGCTGGTTTTTGCTGTCAATTCACACTGCTGATGGCAGTCAAGCATAAAGCCACCAAGCCTTAAAATGAGGCAACTCTGACACCAGCTGTCCGGCCGCACACACATAGATAGCTCTTCTAGTTAATAAACTTTTTAAGTAATGTTGCCTTTTAGTTCCTCTGGAAGTCTGTGCTGTCATGACTGGACTGGTTTCGGTACGAGCTAATTTAAAGCCTTCTCCGATAGTCCTTCACCTCGCCGTGCCCTAACGCACAATGTGCCACTTTGGGAATGGAAGGAGCATTGAGGTGTTCTGGCCTTCATCTTATTGTACTATCATTCTTTTTTATTTTTCTTCCTCTTTTTAAATAGTTCTAATCCGTGTGGTTTCCCTTAAAGGTAAGATAGTGTAAAAAAAAAAAATTAACTACGAGGCATGAAACAGGAAATTAGCATAAACATTTTCAGGTGGATAAAGACTTAATCAAAAGAGGAAAAAAAACCCACCCCAAACCCCCACAATAACCAGTTGTGCTGAAAGAGGAATTGTCATATAATTAGCTGATAATAAATGGAGCTGATCAAGAATGCTTTTGGAATTAATTGTATGCAACATTTTACTTCAGAACCTTGGCACAAAGAGTAAGTATGCACTAATTGCATCTGCTGATAACCCTAAATTATGACACATTGTTGGTACCGGGGAATTGGTGTATTACAAGAAGCACTGTGAGACCCACGGATTGAAGCAAAAAAAAAAAAAAATTAAAAAAAAAATCTAAAAGGAACCGAATAGTACAAAGGTCATGGATTTGCTAGTGATAACAAGGATATCTGCAATACGTGGGGAATTATCTACTAGAAAAAAGAAAGAGGAGGAAAATGACCTCTGTTACTGCTGAAATGTAAAACGACTAGATGTCACAAATAAGATATAGCTGAAATAAAGGCAAATGTGATTCAGACAACATTTCTAGGAAAGACAGGAACATACTAATGTCACAGTTCAAGGCACCAGGGTAAAATATTACTTATAAAATGCTAGTACCTGGAATAGATTTTATACACCTCCAGCTATGCACTCATTTTCAGACAAGAAGGCAAAACACTATATACTTCTGAAAGATAATGCATGCCCAAAATGTATTAGCAGCATGACTATTTCAACAGAAAATGAGTTTTTAGACTCAAACACTAGCATGTAAATGCAAATGTTTATTTTAAATTTCAGTCTCCTCTGAGATCTACCTTTCAATTTACAAGAGTGTATAAAACTGACCAGGGATCACTGGGTGCACCACTCAGTCAAACACCTTGAGAATTAAATTAGCTGTTCCCATGAAACACTATGCCGTGCAGGTTACATAGAGGAAAGTGAAAATAACAAGGCAAGGATGTAACCCATTCAGTCTTTACCAAGAATATACAGAGTGCAGAAGGACCTGACTTAAACCCAATTATATAATATATGAAATCGAATAAGGGCACTTGACTGAAGATTTCCCACAGACAGCAGAACATCCAAACATACTAATTCCTTTGCATTTGGGGGGTTTTTGCTCCTTCCAGTGTGAGGAAAAAGGAAGATGTTTGTTGTTCTTTTCACTTTATTCTGAAGAAGCGGCTTAATTCTTTATATTCTAAATCACCCAAAACAGAGTGCAGAATCGCTTAAAATAAGCTGGGAAGTCAGCAGTAATCTCAGAGTCCTCTACCAGACAGAGTAAACATTAAAAAAAAAAAAAAACACTAAAGAGGCTATTGATCTTAGACATTCCTCTTACATTTGTCCTACATTAAACTGCATATCAGTGTTTTCCTCTGTTGCAGTTTGTGCCTTAGATGGCAATTGCAAAAAGTGCAAGTGGAAAACAGTGCATGTGATAAACTCGGTATAACTCCACCCACTGGCTGATTCAGGAATACCAACTGCAGCAACAGAGTAATCCTCGAGTAATTCTTTACCATCCAATCTACTGATTAATCAGACCACTATCAGCACAAACTGCTCAATCCCTAAGAGATCGTAAGAGAAATGTTAAACTAGGGTATTTCTTACTACAGCCTTTAAAGACAGGCAGTAAGCAAAAGAGGTGACTGAAGACCTGACCAAGATTTTATACATGCCAGAATTCACCCACATAAACAGATATTTAAGGCACAAATATTCTAATGTATATGTTTGTAATATTATATTTTTGTAATAAAACTATGTAAACACAGCCTCTCTGTGCTGAATTCCAGACTCATAATCAAGAACCCTAGTGTCTCTGAAATACTCGAGAAATCACTAAGTTGAGGAGCTCTTTCTTTATGAAAATAGTTATATAAATTTATATGCACTAAGACAAAGGCACAGGTTAACATTCTTTAGGCTGGAAAGTTCTGTTCCTAGAACACCATGCTCAAACCAGTTCCCAGCAGCAACAGTGCACTATATCAATAACCAAATGTTTGGTATTTGGGAGTCTGGGAAAAACTGAAACTTCTGCTCTAATCAACTTTTGCAGCTGGGAAGCACTTTTTGCACCATCAACACATAAGCTTGCAAATCAATTACTCAAATTCTTCTGCAAATTAAAGCATGTAGGTACTAACAGGAGCGAATTAATTACATGTTAAAATTTATGGGGGAGATTCTAGTCAGTTAAAGTATTTCAGGTATAAATTTGAGCTCAAATTCAATGCTGACAGTAACCAATCAAGCCAAATAATTTAAGATAGGTTTGGCAGGGATCTCAGAAGTTACTAAACTTGTAAGCAGTTTCGCTGGCACCTCTTGTGTGACTTTGGTGTACTTAAATATGTCTTGTCCAGTTCTGGAGAAGACTTAAAAGCAAACTGATCCAGTTTAGGTGCAGAAGTGTGAAACCTAGCCTCCCAGCCTGACTTTCATGTCTTGGTCCTAAAAACTGAAGCCCATTAGAAGTTCAAAGCCTTTTTGCCATTTACTTAAAAACCTGTTCCCAGCAGGAAAAATTAAACCCTTTTGCTTTCCCTAAAGTTAAAGCTCAATCCTGACAGTTAGACAAAGCATAATTAGCAGAACATACATTTTTGTTTGACTGCCTCCAGCTGTAACAGTACATGTGCGCCTACATACGCATGCTGTCCAAGCATCTGCCAGAAGGATGCATCACTAAGGCAATGTAGGCAAGCTGAGGTGGTCTCCCTAACAGCAGAAAGCTGGCTCAGTTTACATCATCTTTTTAACAGCACATTTTGTGATTTTGAGTACAAGATATCATCAGAAAAAATAAAAGGCTTTAAAAGGCATCATCTATAAAGCTGTATCAGGTACAGTTCAGTACAGACACACATTCTTACAATGTTAATGAAGTGACACGTGAATAAATTGATATTAATGTGTTTTTGGTACATTTTAAAAATGACAACATTTAAAAGTTTTAAGGCATCACTTCTTTTGACTTATCCCATAGTCACTAATTTGAAGACCAGAGCACAGATAATTATATACTGTGGTGACAGAGCAAACTGAGATGTCCTCTGTATGTGAACCTGAGAGGACAGACATTTTCCATTGCTCCTTCACTTGCTGCTAGAGATAAACATTCCTTTTGCAAGGTAATCCTGCTAGCATACATGAAAAAAAATAAGTTGAATATTATTAAATTAAATATCTACCTGAGAGTTTCATGAGGAGCTCAGATGCTGCCTTGACTGACATGTCCTGCCTCATCACATTTGCCGGCACTTCCTGTGGCTTGAGTTTCTCCTCAGGGACACTTGGAGCTGAGGCTTCAGATTCCTGGCTGAACACATAGCTGGACTGAGGCAAGGCTGAACTTGCAGCTTCTTCATCCTTAGGCTCCTCTTTCACTTTAAATTTAGGAGTCAAGGGCTCTTTTTGATTTGCAGCTGTCAAGAGAAGGAAAGAAGGGAGGCTTAATGAGGTAGGTAATTTACAATCATAGAGCAGCTGGTAACAGGAAGAAACTATAACCTGAGAAATACTAGCACAGGTACTGGAAGCAAGCATATCAAACAGTATTCAACGATGCTTCAAGAGGTAAACAAACATCTGCGTCTTTTGTACAAAGGGGCAGTTTTGAAACACAAAAACTGCATGTACCAGAGCTCAAGAAAACATCCTTCTCCTCTTACTTTTTTGCCTCTACTCCTCCTAAAAGCATTCCCCTAGCCACTGGTTTGTAGGTCTTCCATAAGCTTGATGGAAGTTTAAAATACAATTTCACATAAGGGAAATTTGGCAAAGCCCGTGGGTACTACATATTGAGTTCTTAGAGCACAGAAAAAAGGCAAGAGTAGAAAGACAGGAAACCTAAAAGGTGAGTAAAAGGGAAAAGAACTGCACATTCTTAGGTCCCAAAAGTTGGTATTAGTTAAGAAAGAGCATAGAGGGATTTTCAGAAGACAGCTCTGCACTGGAAGATGCTATTAGAGCACTGCTCCAGGTTCTACATCCACAAAAAAGAAAGAGAGCAAGTTTAAAATAATCCTTTCAAATACCCCATGTGAGCAGCAGCACAGCCTCAGAGAAGGGTACAGAGGCCTTGGGGCTGCTTAAAATCTATACACTGAACAATGTTGTTCTTGAATGATCTTTCTGACGCCCCTTGACAGCGGTAGATCCTTTGCACTGCATTTGGTTGAAGGGATAAAACCAAGAACGCCTCAGAAGCAATACTTCCAAACCCAAGCAATATAAATTCACAGGGAGACTGCAGGACAAATAGGAGGATAAAGAAGTTGCACTGTCTTTCAGCAGCTTTTCTTATAATTCTTTATTTGCCGTCAGGAGATACTTCCTTCCCTGTTTCTCTCAATGGCTTTTTCTTGTTCAAAATTTCACTTCAAATTCCCAGTAACACACAGCAGATGATTTGTTCAGTGCCCCAAACTTTGATGAGTTTACATCTTTCTCACCTTTCCAAACCTCTGTCTCCACAAATATGAAAGACAGAGCATCATCCCCATTTTGTTATCTTTCTAAGCTCTCTCACCATTTACCCCACTACCTTTCTTTTCTCTCACACATATTTTCCTCCTTCTCCATGACAATCCACTGCCTACCCTCATGACTCTTGCAGATGAGCTCTGTCAAATCTCCCTCGGACCTCGTAAGAAGGATGTACCCCCCGCCCCGCACCTTTCCCAGGCTGCAGCAGGGCACCCGAAGCCAACCCGCATAGCCTGCTGCAGAGAGCTGTTGGTCTTACAAACCGCTTCCATGAACAGGAAAAGCTGAGGAACTGACGTATCACAGGGATGGTAACATCCAACTGAAGCAGCAGAGTACTAACAGGTCAAGTCAACCCAACAAAATCTGGCAACATTCACCTGCTTAAGCCCTTGGCCTGCTTCCTCCTCTACTTCACTGCTGCTTTCTCCGGCTCCTCACCTTCCGGGATTATTTCCTCAGATACCACTCCTTCTCTGCTGTTCCCTCAAAATCTGACTCCTGGAGCATCTGAATTCCTGCACCCCACTATGAAGTGCTCACCATCTCCCAGGGACCACAGCCCTAAATAAGGGGTACAATTGCCATCTTTACTGCAAACAGACACTTCTCTTTGCTACTCTGAGCCTCGGCCATGTTCACATAGTCCACTGTCCAGTGGTTTGCTTTGTGTTTGTTTTTGTTTGGGTTTTGGTTTTTTTTTTTTTTTTTTTTAGCTACTACATTACCTGGTAACACAACACTTACATTGTTTCAGTCTATATTCCAGGGCTGTTTGATTTGGCTTCAGATGATCTGTATTTTTCTCCTTTCCTACTGGTTGGCAAGCTATTACCAAAGAATGAGATTAAAGGAAGTGGGACAAACTGCAAACACATAAGCCTCATGTACATACACACCGGTGCTATTCATCACTTCAGGAATTAAATTAGCTTACATATGTAGGTTTTAGTATGACCTATAAGCACTTTTACCAGTATTAGGAATTGCTTTTTGCATTCACTAGTCATATTAGGGAGAACAATAAACAGATGTAAGAAAAATCATTGCAAATAAGGGAAAGAAAAGATGACTGAGGCCAGTTTTCAAAAAACCCTATGATTGAGGAAATCTTTCAGAAATTAGAACTAGACAAGGATTAAAAAGATATTTGAACTACAAAATTATTACTCCCCAGAAGGAGTAATATCTTCTATCTACATACAAAAATAGATACACGTACATACACTTAATTTGTATTTAACTTACATTCATCCTGAACTGCAGTAAGAACAGACTGAAGGATGTGTTGCCTGCAAGCTGAATCCAAAAAACCCAGCAATTTAATCTTGAAATACACAGTGAGGAAAAAAAAAAAACCCAAAACACCCAGCAAATGCAACCAACAGGCAGCAGTCTCCAGCAGGGTTGATAGTTCTCCATTCAGTCCATTCCATTCCATATCCAGAAAAAAACTGATCAAAGATTCCAGACTGGCGATTTTTATTTTCCTGGAAACTGGGATCATTTGATCCATTTGGCAAAAGTAGATGATGAAAGTTATAATGCTTTCCTCAAACTGCCAAATGCCACAAGAAAAGCTTTGGACATCTGCCGCTAACCTGGAGCATTCAGATAGAAGCTGCTAACTGCGTAGGTCCACTTACAAGGATTTCTAAATGTTCAAAGTGTTTATAATGAAAGAGGAAACATGGGCCAACTACCGCAATGCCAGCTCTACGTTACAAGTCACAATCAACAAGGAGTTGGTCACTGTTCCATCTGTCTGAGCAAAGAATACGAGAAAGAAAAAAGAATCCACAACAAAAATGCTGCCACAAAAGAGCAGGCCACGAGAAAAAGCATCTACAGAGTCTGGGTCAAAAGGAGCTGTGGGGAAAATCTCTGACGCCACAGTACACCGGCTGCACCATCATCTGATTTTACGAGTGATGCCTGACTACAGCTACAAAGATGAGAGAGAGCAGGCCAGTCGTGGCTGAGGGAAAAGGGGAAAGTAAGGACACGTCCCAAAAGGCACTCCAAATTGAACCGGTATCCTCCAGACCTTGCCAGAAAACCTCCCTTTGTGATTCTCCTCAGAACCACCACGGCAAGAGAACCACGGCATGACTTCTACCTGAGGAATAAAGGACAGTGTTTTATCCAGGTCCTACTGGAGCCAGAGCATCTGAACGACACAGGGAGCCTTCCCTCCCAGGTGGTAAGTTGTGAGCTGCAGTAGGCTCCAAGGAAGAGGATGGGAACTATCGATGAAAAAGCTATTTATGACTCCAGGGTGCTCCACAGTATCTTTTTTTTTTTTTTTAATCAAAGCAGTGGAACAGCAGAATAGACAATCATGAGAGTATGATGATGCCAAGACTTTCCACCTCCGAGTTCCAGAGACCACTTAAAATATGAGACCTTCCAAACCATCTTGCTTAACTATGCTAAAAATGTGTGAGCAGCGGTTAAGAAAATGCCAGCTAATTATCCTGATCTTCTCTAAAGTAGCTTTGCATTTAAGGAGCTACAGTTAAGCAAAATCAGACAGCACTGGAGAATGACCAGTCCTGCTACTGTCCCCTCAAAATTTCACAACACTCTAGTCCAAGTGGCATGGAGGAATTAGGGAAATTCCTAAGGCACCTGCAGGACCACACATTCCCCCATGCTCCAAGATGCGTGTTTTACAGCCAAAGTCCCACCTGCTAAACAAGGCTGTAACATCTGCCAAGACCATCTTCTCCTTTCCAGGGAAAAAAATCAAAACAACAACAGAATAGGTAAACTTCTGGGGAAGCTGGAGAAAAGAGAGGAGAACGAAAGGAGCGAAGGGAAATCTGTTGCTGACAGGAAAGAATTGTTTGCAGTAGGGAAATTCTTCTCTCTACAAAGGAACAGAAACAGAGGAGGAGAGAAACACCACCAGACCGACCTCTGTATTTGTTTAAGAAAACAAAAACCAAACCAAACAATCAGAGATGATTGAACTAACAATGCCTTCAATTCCCATTTTGGACAGAGAGGCTTACGAGCTAGGACTTCTGCCCAGAGTAATGGTGTAATCAGGGAAGCGAAAGAGCCATCAGTCTAGTCCAGTCTTATAGTCCAAGCATAAGAGTTTATGCAGATGTTTAAAACTAAATTGCAAGCACAGATCTGGTCCAGAATCATATTCACGACTTCTTTTAAGTTGTACTGGGCTGAATACACAAAAAAAGCAGTTTGTTATCTTGTATTTTCAATAACTGAATTAGAACAGAGTCTACACTGCTTTATCTGGCTAAATTCTACGTATTCCTCCGAGGTGTAAAACACGATGGGTTCTATTTTAAAGATGTCGGTAAATTCTTGGATGTAAGACTAGCAATTGCTGAAAAGAGATTCTAAGAGTGGTTATATACCAGTGGCAAAGATTAGTACAAGCTTTTATTTGCCCAAGTTTTAATTAGCCGTGCTACTGCCCTTTTTCAGTTTTGTTTTAAATTAAGGGTCTATATGGGAATTATGAAAATGTAAATCTAGAGTGACACTTCAAAGAGAGATCTTGATGACATCAGGGGTATTTACACTGACAGCAGCATTATGGAATTCACAGTACTTTTAAATTAAGGATATAGCTCAATAATTGGCAGTCCTGTGCGCTTACATATTCTAATTGAAATTCTACATTCTGGCATAAAATATGAATCCTAAATATAGTCAGCGTGGTCTTTTTTGGAGCTTGCTACACAAATATATCAATTACGACAACTTAATTTGACATGCTTTTATTTTATTAAAAATAGCTGTTTGAAGAGTTCAAGCCAGCCAGTTTGGTATTGTCAACAGCAAGTGCTTCACCATTTCAAATTACTCGTGTTACCTTTAAGGAATGCCATAATTTTCAAGAGTCAAACAGAACAAATAATCTAAGTGACTACTGAGTTTATCTACTGCTATTTTGTATGTAGTTGTCTGATGATTTCCTATTTCGTTATTCCATTAATGGAATCAGCTCAGAAAACATGAATGCAAAGTCCAAGTACTCCGGACAGTCACCAAAATCCCGTGGTGGCATCACTTTCCAAAACAAATATTTGACTCCTCACACAATAGTGACATCAGATATGGCTCAAACTGGGAGAAACCACAGTTTCTCACTTGTTTAACAAGACCAGCCCCAAACCCTCAGCATGTTCTCTCTCCTTCCACTTCTCTATATTAAAGTTTTTCCATGCGAGTAACTTGGGGAACATAAAAAGAACTGCAGAAGCCGGGCACACTTGGTAATATTCACTGTCACAAGATGAAGAAACATCCCATCTAGAGTAATGCACTTGGTGAACACCGAGAGGTGGGTGAGAGAAGCCGGGAATGAAGTATGGTTTACAATTACTGTTTCCACACAGAATTCCTTTGAGATCAATAGTGCAAGAATCCCATTCATTTTGATGGGATTCATTTATTTTTTGAATGTTATGAAAAATAACAGCAGCACATAACACAGGCACAGTAATAACTTCACAAGAGTACACTGGCCATTGTAATTTGGATCACTGTGAAAGCCGGGTTTTATTACAAAAGAAAACAAGCCTCAGAAGTGGGTGGAAGGACACCAGTATTTACGGAGGTGTGTTGTATAATGTCTGCCACTGAAACCTTCGAAACAGGAAAGGCAAATACTCTGCAAATTAAAATATGAATGCAGCTACAAAGTTCCAACATGGAATTAATGGACTGGGGGAAGAAAACATTCTGGCCAAGCACTGATGCAGCAAAGTACTTGGGCAACTTAAAGCTCATAAGCAGTGCCACTGAAATAAGAGGGGGAAGGTTTGAATGCAAATCATGCCCATGCTTAAATATTCTTGACATCTGTATGTTAAGAGTCATCTGCTAATTGTCTTTACCAACAATAACCCTTTCCAAATTTAAATGAAATTTCAGAGAATCCTTTTATATTTCTTGTGAACTAAAAAGCATCCCCTACCTTAAACTAGGACTTAGAAAATGGAATCTCGAAGAAATTTCTGAGTTTGTTCTTAATACTAGATTTACATTTGGCGATTTGTGTTATGCCTTATTTCAGAAAACAGGTAACTACAAATCTTTCTGGCAAGCAATGGCACAGAATTAGGGCTGAAGGGATCTCAGAAGGTCACCCTCACCAATATTTCTCCAACTGTTTAAATCTAAAGATTCCCCTACGCCTTTCTGAAAAAAATCAGAGGCCATTTAGAGCAGTATCATCACAATTCATATCTGGCCCACTCAAAATCACGTCTAACTTTGAATATCTGTAATTTTTTTTCCCCAGTTTGCTTCTCTACAGCTTGCAGCTTGTTATTTAGCTGAAATTTCTTGCAACTGCTTCTGATGTCCTATGGTTCACTGACAGACACACAGATCTACCCCATCCTACTGCCTAATACGTGATCAGCCCTATCTGACAGGTAATTATCTAACCTGTTTTTAAAATTCTCCAGTGGCAGAGATACCACCATCTCTCCAGCCAAACTATCATAAAGGTTTAGCTACATCAATTTTTTGAAAGAACTTCCTAATGCCAACTTAAACCCTACAAAGAATATAAACCTGTTTTTTGTCCTAATTACAATGAATCACCAACAGATTATTTCCTTCTCTCTGCAACAAACGTTTTACTGCATTAAAGGCTTATTAATAACTCTCCTTAGTCTTCTCTATAGGCTTCACAACCTCACTGGACATGTTTCCTAACCTCCAGTCATTTCTGCTGCTGTCCTCTGAAGTCTTTCCAACCCTCCGCACTCTTTGTAAACTATAGCGCCAAAACCTGGGAATTCAGCAAAACTGAGAAGACTGCGACTGTATCATCCTTCTTTGGGGCTGTTTTTCTCTGCATACATCCCAGTACGATGACTGCGTTTTTAGCACCAGGATGACGTTGTTCCTCTCCCACAGAACTTTGACCTAGCTAGTTGTTCCTGGTTTTGTATTTGTGCAACTTGTCAAACAGTTTTTACAAATCTCTTTTGACTGCAACTCTTCTCTGTTGACTGTGAACAACTTTCAATGTACTGTTTTCCAACCATCCGATATCCACTTCATCTAGACTAGAAAGGTACCACACTGCACAATCAGAAATAATACTGAGTCAAGATTATTAAGATTAAATTTTAAAATCGATAATACTTAATAACCAGCTTTTTACCATCTTCCACCCTAGGCACACCAGATAAACTTCTGCTCTGAAATGGAACTGGAAACTGTAACTCTGAGGTCTGAAGGGAGACCAGCACTCCTCTGAGTCAGACATTTGGAAAAAGAAGAGCCTGAAACTGCCCCAAAATGGAAATCAACAGGCCCCGAGGACTCCCATGAAACAGTAAGCGTACAAACTGACAGCAACCAAGAAGAGGAGGGGCAATAAACATCGGCAAGCAAAAACAGATGTTCATTTAAACCATCAATATTCAAGAAGAATAAATGCCAAATTCTAAAAGTCTAGATATCTATCTGCTGGTTCTTTCTTAGCCACAAGGCCTGTCAAAGAAGAAAATTAGATTGTTTTGACATAATTTGGTCTCGACAAATCTGTGTTGGCTGTTACAATTGGCATAAACAATTTGAGATGTCAAAAGATTTAAATAATTGAAAAGGTAAGGCCAATGATTGAAGTTCTGATGGGCCTAACAGGAGAGTGCCGTAATAAAGAAATCACTCAAAGGAACTTGGTTCAACACAGCAAGCAGTCAAAAAAAAAAAAAAAAGGAACTATTACTTAGCTAACCTGCTAAAAGATAATTACTTCTACTCTAAATTTTTGTACACTGTACGGAGGAAAGCATGAGCTAAATGTATATAGGACAATATAAATCTCAGGAGAAAAACTCCTTTCCTTTTAACATTGCTCTCCTTGTGCAGTAAACTTAGTGACTGGCAGTACATTTTCATCCAAATATGCACACACACAAAATTACAGACACATCTCACTCCCCCAGTGACTTTATAACATGTTGCTAGGTAACAGTGCATAAAGTCAGGTTTCAAGACCTTTAGTAAGTCACCATAAAATAACTGCATAGGCCTTTTGCATGAATAATGTACATTTGTATCCTTTTTCTGATGCCAATAGATCAGACATTGAAAACACCACTGTCTGCCAAACCATAAACAGCTCCCCATCAACTGCTACATGAAAAACAACACATCAAAATGTTGCATATTTTTCCGGCTTTCAGGCTCCCCCCCTCCTGCTTTCTGCTCTCATTCTTGCTACATGCAGCCATCATGAGCACTACCATCTCCAGGTCAGTACAGTCCGTGTGTAGAGTCACTCAGTGCACAGCAGCCAAAGCTGAGACAGACATCAGAACGACAACATACACAGCACACCTGCCAGACAACAGAAAAAATGGATTTCACGGAGTAACCAAATTTGAAACTCAATTTTAAAAATTAATAAGTAAATCAAAACAGACTCACCCTTGCTCATTTTTTGTTGATCATAATAACAAAATATATCAATGGATTATTCTTTTTTTTTTTTAAAGGGGAGGTTTCTGTGGCTCCTTCCAACCCATAGAACAAACCATTTGTACCAGCTCATTTCATCTCCTGCTTGTCCTCAGCTCTTTTCCTTTTTCCTGCTTGGATCCATGAAGCCTCAGGCTTGATTTCTTGTGTTTACCCATTCTACCCTATTCCCCACAGAACTGCAGTCCCAGAGGTATGAAGCTCTGGGCAGATGAGAGCAGCAAGCCCTTCCAAAATAAATAGCAGTGGTTTCACCAAGGCAATGGCATTAGGACAGAGCTAATTTCCTAGTTCACCTGACAATAAAATTTACTAGAGCACAACTTACACTCTATTTAAAGGAACAAGGTGACAAATTATTCTCTACTGAAAAGGGGATCTTCTGTCTCCAAAGTCAAAACTTGCCATAGAGACTGCCATCTCCTTATGAAACAAGTTTCTTCAGTGGCACTTTTCCTGACTTCTTTAAGAATTAAAGGCTAATTTTGAAAACATTTTGTATAGAACATCCCTCCAGCAAGTCCACATCTGTGAAGTGTTCAGTCAATTCAATAAAAGAGCACATGAAATATAATAGATCCACGCCAAACACATCCCCCACTTCAGACTCTCACATATGAGTATCATTCTTACAGCAATAATCTGACAGCGAAAGCAAACACAATGAACACATGCCTTGCATTAGATATGGATTTCAATTAAAACAGCAAAAAAATTTAAAAGCTGTTCATGAATCTCTAGGACTACCTTTTTTTCAGTGTTAATAATCCAGAAATGCAGTAACGTTCATACTTCACAGGTATTGACTAGTTAGACCTCATTTGCTACTCTGAAACGAAGGTGACCAGTACTTCATAGGTCCTATTTAACACATGGATACAGGCAGAGAACTTAAGAGCTGAATTTTCTGATATGCTGGGCACTTGTGACCCTCAGTGATTTAAAACCAGAACTACAGGTATTCAGCATGCCTGAAAAACACACCAAATAAGATTTGCCGAGGTAATTCTGAATGAACATGAAAGCCTTGATAAAAAGTTCTCATTCCCAATCCCAGCACTTAAACAGCAAAATCCCTCTCTTCTCTCACCACTTCCCTTTTCCCTCCATTGTGCACCTCTCCTTATCAAAAAGAACAAGAAATTACAAGTTAAGAAGTTGCAATGCTTTTCTCCCTGCAATTCCATGACTTAGCAAACCCAAGGCAAAGAATTTCTTAGCCCATAAAGGAACAGCTGAAGCTGCTGCTCGCTGCTCAATTACCTGACAGCTTCATCAGAAAATCTGATGCCATCTTGACAGAGATATCTTGGCTGAATAGTGCTGATGCTGTATTGGCCACTAAGTCAGAGGAGTCTTTCAGCTTTGTGTTGTTGGGGGTTCTGTCAACAGTGCTAAGAGCAAAAGGTGCAGCTGAGATGCCATTGTCATCTTTGGGCTCTTCTTTCACTAGTAACGGTGGAATACCTCCAGCAGGCTGCCCAGGCACACCAGGTGTTTTAGATATAGATGCTGATCCCATAAGGTCAGGTCCACCTCCTTCCCTCTGCGGTCCTGGGCAGGAGTCACTACTCAGCTGTGGTGATCCTTTCACCTCAGTTTCTGGTACCTCCTCCTTCACTTTGGATTCTGTCCTGAGGAAATGTTGATGGCAACGCATATGGAGCTTCAGGCTGAAGTGGCGGGAGGAGGTAAAAGGGCATAGCTGGCATTGAAAGGTCTCACCCCTGTCTTGGTGCTGATGAACCTGGTTCAAGAAGTGAAAGATAAAAGGATGTATTAAGCAGAACAGTTTACTAGCATTATAGAAATCCCAACTCTAGACTTCTCATAGCATTTTAAAAAAAGTTAACTAATGAGTGAACTCTCTATTCTGTGCACTTGGAAAGAGGTCAGGCACTAAGAACGGTAGGATTCTTTCACACATAAGTCAAAGAACAAAAACATCAGACTCAACTGAAAAAAAAAAAAATCAGGAACAGCTGTTTCTGCAGCATGGAGATGATGAAGTCTGCTCTGGATCAAACAGTCCTTACAACCAAATCCTGATGACCTGCCAGTGCATAAAAAGACTTCCAAGCTGTAACTAGTAGCTTTCTTGATTAAAAAACAAACTAAAAAACCTCTATCTATTTATATGATCGGCTAAGCATCATCATTCTGTGCAACCTCATAAATAACAACTGTTCAGAGCAACCCAGCAAAACACTAGCCTGCATAGTCCCTCATTGATTCGTGTAGCCCTGGAGTGAAAACACAGCACAGGGCAATACCAAGGTGCTGTCGAAAGAATTTGTTGCAAATTAATTCTGCCAGAAAATAAACAGCTCTGTTATGATAAAATACAAACATGAGAGATGGTGTTTGCCATTTATTCTATTTTATCAGTCGATTAATGATCACAGTTAATATTACTGTTCTCATTATTTGACTGTAGGCTCTCTCATAAAGACTGCATGCTCCAGTATGACCACAATGCCTGATCCCAATTACCTTCTAAAGAGAACTCCATCCATCCAAATGTAATGGTTTACATATTATTTGAACAGACACACTCCTTAGTATAAACTATATACAGATAATTATACAATTCCTTGTTTAACACAGTACTCACGAAAGGGAAGGAATAATTGAGCCCAGCATAAAAGTGGCAGGTATATTGAAAAGTTTCTTCCCTATAGCTTCACAAATGAATTTTAAATCCTGACAGCATCCAGGCTGCTCTCTGCAGAAAGACTGGCAAATACATACATTTGTTCCTTACTAATTGATGAACATGTGATCAGGACAAACTGGCACCAGACTGAGCTTCTCACATTCGTTTTCGCTCTTGTGACTAGAGCTGGTTGGAAACATTTCAGTGAGACAGATTTTTGTTGGAAAATGGCAATTTGTTGAATGCAAAATATTTCACCTGAAACATGGAGAGTTTTGATGAACTCTTGGCAAACGAGGAGTGATTCCCCTCCCCTACTGAGTGGCACCCTACCCCCAGCTCCCCGGGCTTGGCTCAGAAGCAGCCAGCTGTGCCAGGAATCCAAGGCTTGCTGCTATAGCCTGGGAGTCCAAAAGCCCTGAAAGCTCCAGCTCTAATCAAAGCTCAGCTCTACACCAGGGAGCCTGGAAGACCTAGCTCTAGATAAGGCTTTCAGCACTTTCCACTCTCCTGCGGAGCCGAGGTCCAGATCCCGAGAGTCCTGGTGCAGACGCGGCAGAGCTCTGGGATAACTGCAGCATATCCCAAACACAGCCCCGTCAAAATTCAGGTTGGAGTTTCCCTGTGGTTGTAGATTTGGCCTGATTCATTTTCTAGACAGCAAGAGGAATTCAGTCACAAGCCCATATCCAGCATTCCCAGCTCTACATACACAGGACCTGAATTCAGGTCTGCTAAAATGTGAAGCTGCAAGACATCCCTTTTTTAGCCTTTCCACATTCAGTGAAGACACATTTCATTAGAGCTGTACAACTTTTCATTCAGTAGCTCTTCAAGGGCTCTGGAGATTACATACTAAACAAACAGCAAGAGGGAATTTCTCTTGCCCATCCACTTTACAGAATGACATTCTCAATATCATACAAACATGACATTTTACAGACAAAGTAATTCTGGAATCTTAAAATTGCACCTGACAACAAAAAAAACATTAGAAGCTAATGCTAACCTAAGACAGTTTTAAAGCAACAACCTTGCAGAAGAACAGCAGCACAATAAATTCCAAATATTAACAGGTTACAGCCAACCAGATTGCCTGTCTACACTACTGGAAACAGGATGGTCTGTGAGCACAGCAGTACGTAAGCACTCTCCATGAAGAGCACTGAGATGTACTAATGGTAGCAAGCACTCTCACCATGGCAACTTTATCTCTTACACCCACTGAGATTCTGTGCACCGGGGTTTCTCTCCAGGATCTCCTTCAACCAACATTTCCCTGCCTGGATATTTAACCACTTCTCCTAGAGCTCCCTTATCACATCCATCAATACGATGCCTTCTAAAGGCTGTCACTGCTGCAGTCAGGTGGCAAAGTCTGTGTGGGAGCCCACCTCCTCTTCCCAGGAGCATGGCATGCCACCCCTGCAATATCTTTTGAGAATGGATGAGAAGAAGGAGGACTGATTAATCTGATTTGGATTTTTCTCCTGCCCAAAGACAATAGCAGCATCACCAATGGATTTCTCATAAAATAAAGTACGTTTATAACTTGCAGCTAAGGAATGACAGAATTCAAACCCAAATATTTAGAGTTTTAAAGGAAGAATTTTAGATCTACAAAAAACCTATCTGAAACAACATCAAGCCCAATACTTAGCTCACAATGTCCTGGGTCCAGTCCCACCATAAGGTGTGTTATTTTGGTCCATTCTCAAAAATAAATAATAATATACATTTAAAATTTTGAACACTATTAGAAATGGAAGCTAAGAATTAAAATCACTTTAAAGGAAACACTATCCCTTCTTTCCTCATTTGACAGCAGCTGAAAGAGCCAAGAATTGCCATTCTATGCTATTCGGAGGGAAGAGTCAAGGCAGCCACTACTTGCTGCAGAATAAGAAACAAGAAACCCTGCAGAGCTCCACAGAAAGCCATAGGGGAGATCCAGGTCACGTAGTGTTACAGTCCAAAAAGCTGCCTTCTCCCTCCATGAGACAGGGAATGGCTCTTAAACTGTGCTAATGCTACCCAAACTATCAGATGTCCTTTTTAGACTCAACCAGGCTGTTGCTGCATGGACCACAGGCAGGAGGAGACAAGAAGGCAGACGACAGGTTTTCTCCGAAGTCCCCAGTCTGAGCCCAGCTGCTGCCTGATTTGGATCTCTCTGAATTACACTGAAGTCCCCAGTCTGAGCCCAGCTGCTGCCAGATTTGGATCTCTCTGAATTACACGGCAACAAACCACAGTGCACAAACAGCTCACAGAGAATGGTTCTTTCAAAATCCCATAAAATTACTGTTTGACTTATGTCAGAAACATTTAAGGACTTCTCCTTCCAAGTTTATTTCATTTAACCGTGGACATTCTCCTCGACTGTCCAAAATACTTGTAGTATCATCTTTACTTTAACCCTACCATTCTCCTCGACTGTCCAAAATACTTGTATCATCTTTACTTTAACCCTACAAGTCTTCTCAGTCTCAAACGATATTTTGTGGTTCTACAGTTTTTTCAGTATGTGCTTGATATCACGTATGCAATAATTTTCAACAGAACTATACACTTCCTACAAACTTTAAACCTAGTTTGAAGACTTGGGTACAAATTATCTATTGGTTAAATATTTTTTTTATTTGTTTCTTTCAATTTCTCTTGCTGCCTCCACATTCTCACAACACAAGAAAGAAAAAAAAAATCTGTTCAATTTATCTTCTCTATCACGTGTTTTATTTTGATCACACCTCTCTTCTATACCTGGCAGTCCCATTCTTTTCAGCTTCTTTTTTCAATGGGAGTTCTTGCCGTCCCACTAATCACTTTCATTCCCAGCTTTTAAAATCCTTTCTATTTCTGATACGTCTTTTGATGCACAGTGACCAGAAGTGAATGCCACAAGTGTCAGCATACATATGTTAATAATAGCATTGTATTATTTTCAGTGTTATCTCTCTTTTATTCTACAGAGATTCAAATAACTAACGTGCTTTCTAACCGCTGCTGCGCATGCCAAGAAAAGGTTTTCACTGAACTGTCCATGACACCCAGACGTTTTCCCTGTGTAGTTACAGTTTGTTATATCAGACAGCCAGGTGCATGATTAGACTCTTGTTTCCAAGGTGCAGTACCTTGCATTTGTCAACAATAACTTCATTTGCCCCCTTGTTTATCTGTCAGACAGCCTTTTTTTATTCCCTTTCAAGCTTTGCCTTTTCTAATCTTGATTCATGCACATGAGGTTGTATCCTCTACAATCTCTCATCATTTTCTGCAGATCACATTTGCTAGAATACGCACAATTCCACTCTTAGTAATGGAATACCCCTCTCTTAGCCTTTTGTCATGCTTACAATTGCTCATTCCTTCCTACCCTTTGTTTTACTGTCTCTTGGTGAATTTCTAATTTGCCATAGTACATCACATAGCTTAATTTATTTGGCAGATTCTCACTGAGAAGCTTTGCCAAAGGCTTTTTTAAAGACCAAATACATTTCAAGTGATTCTTGAGTCCATGATTTTCCTGACATGCTCCCAATACGGTGAAGATGCTTTAAAATAACCTGTCCTAAACACTTGACCAAAATAGAGTCAGACTGCTCATTCAGTTTTCTGACCCTTGCTGAGGAATAAGGAGCAAAAAGCAAATCACTAAGGTGAAGTGAGCACCCGGCTACATTCCTTGGGGCCTTTCCTTTTTCCCGGTATCATGTAATTAATAGCCTTTCCCTCATCAGGAAGCTGACTATAACTCTCTTCATATTACACAGGAGTGCCAATCTGAGATCTCACTACATGGTCCCTCCTCATAAGCAACAGAAGCATGAAGATCCCGTGGTTGAGCACCACATGACCTACCTGCCATCACATAGAACTTTTCTGTTAAGCTTAATCTTCCCTTTCCTCGTTTTCTGCCATACTGTCGTGCTTCAGCACATGCTCACAATGACAAATTTCTTTTCCACTGCTAGAAGAGCTGGTTTGCCCATTTCTGCCTTATGTCTATATAGCAGCACAAGGAACATTTATAGATATTTTTTTTGGCCATATGCGCCTCTTCCTCATTCCCCCTTCCAAGTGCTCAGGCTAATATCCTGTTGCTTTCTTGGAACCTATCTGTATGATCTCACAGCCTATCCGTCCACCAATTGCTGAAGAAGGTATGTGCATGATCCAAAGACACCAATTGGCCAAAATCTGACTGATGCTTGTGGTATTGCTCTGTGGTAAATTTAATCCCTACTTCCCTACCAGGAAAACCAGACAAGTCTGAAAGCATCTTGCTGAATTACACTACCCCTTTCTGTCGCTTTCTGCAGAAGTAGTACACAAGACACCCTTTCTCTAAAGAAGAAAACTACATATTCCAACTGAATACATGTTTAGATAAACAGAGAGAAGGACTCAAGCACAACCCTTGCTGCCTGCTTGGACAAGACACCTCTCTCAGCTGCCCATTCATGTTGTCCAGTTTCATTTTCGGTATTCTCAGCACCCCTGGAAACCACACTTTGATACCAGAATCAAGTCCTGAGATGCTACCCCTAGACTCCCGGGAATAAGGGCCAAAACTTGTGGTTATGCAGGTACTATAGTTTGTCTCCAAAACAGACCAATAAAATTCCATACTGTGTCTATTTTAGGATTTTTCTAAGGTGCCTATCACTGTGGAATCTAAATGCCAGATAACAATTACAGATAACACTGTGTGCCTTAAAAGGCAGTCTGCTCAGCCGCCCTCGCTCATTGTGTGTCTGCGTGGAAACTTTCCTTCTGCTTCCCTTCTTGCCTTTCACTTCCTCACCTCCAGTTGCGAGTTGGTCTTGGCAATGAGCCTGTACTGGAGGAATGCCTCATCAACGTGGTGGGCAGCACACGGAGATCTGAATATGGTCAGGGCCAGAATCAATCCAGCTCTCTATTAGGATTTTCTCTATCAGGGGACAAAACACCAAAAATATTGGCAATGTTGTATTCTGGGCCAATCAGTTTGACATGTTATAATTACCATAAAATTACACACTATTTATATTATATAGTTATTATTCGTTAACCTAAAGATACACACAGTGAGGAAGGATCATATGGACACACACTCAAACCACTCATGGAAATTAAATCTCCAAATGACCAGTTTCAACGGAAAATGCCTACAAGAACCTCATAAACAGAGGAGGTGCTTCAGCTCAGGGCTATGCTGCCTAGAGGGAAACAAAGATAATACTATTATATTTTTAGGACTGCAGCTGGACAAAACACCTCAAACACCAGCCTAGTACCCTAATTTTGAGTAGCCTTTTTGGTTTTGAAAAATGTGTCTTCACCTGCAGCTGCAATTGACTCATGGTGAGAGAGGGGTGGATAGCTACAGGCAGCTCTACCTTCATGTGTTGCCTGCCAGGAAGGAGATAACGACAGGTAGGTCCCAAAGGATCCTAGGACGACAAAGAAAAATGAAACATCGGACCGACATAAGCAGAAAGCTGCGTCCTAAGTAGCTGCTAGTTGTGCTATACCATTTCTGATGTGTATTTATTCAGTTTTGAACACTGCTGTCTTACATACGTGTCAATTATTATAATCTCACACTTACGTACAAATTTAAAAGCAGCATGTTTTTTATAATGAGAAAATATATCTGATTTTTTTTAAATTTTTTATCTTGTTATCAATTTATAGTTTCACCAAAGAGAACTCAAATGACATCTGACACTGCTGGACACAGGACTAACATGCCCCTACCTCACTCACCTGCCTCAATTTTGATGTGATAGAAAATTGAGAAAAGCACATGAAATCCCTTGAAATTAAGGTAAAATGTTATCTTTCAGGTTCTGGTACTTGTGATTCTTCACATCTATCCATAAGACAAATACAGACCATTTAGTTTTGTAAGACAATTGCCTTCATCTTAAACAGGGTGCAGTTTTACCAGCAAAGAGCGCTGAGTCCATGATGACCTGCACTACTGGACCTCACTGACTGAGGAGACTTCAGATCTCACCTCCATAGTAAAGCTAAAGGAGGCTGTGATCTCTTACACTGGGTCAAGCAGCTCTGGGCCTGACTCTGACCTCAATGATACCTAACTGAGCATTACTTAGTAATAATTACTGTATTACCAAATAATTAACACTACATGTTATGTGTTTGTACAAGCGGTCTGCTTTAAGAAGACATGGGCTCAGTTAATGAAGGGGTTTATGTTGGGTAGGGAGCAGAAAAGAGCACAAGGGCTTCGGATAGCCACCGATTTGATAGCACACAGAGACAGTGAAAAGTCACTAATTTTCTCCAACATCCTACCCGTGACCACCAATGGAAATCACCATGCCAAAAAGGAAGAGATAGGCCCTCAATCGGCAAATAATAATTCCAAAAAAAGCAAAAAAAGTAGAGAAAAATATTTTTTGCAGGGAGTAATAGGGATGTCCTTTACAAAGCAGGGACAACAAGAGGCCTCTGCCAGGGAAGAGCAAGCATTCAGGTAATGCAGGCTTCTGTGCAGCCTGTCAACAACTGAAAACAAAAGACTTTTCTTATCACACTGTGTTCCCATTCTTTCTACTCATCGTCTATTTGGGATGGCCACCCGAGCCCTCTAGTCAACATGGAACACTAAGTTCTAGAAGAAGGAGCCAGAAACATCAAACCTATTTGTACCTGATAAGGATTAGCATGATACACCAAGGATGGCTGGGAATAGTGAATTGATTCACAGTAGGAGAGGTAAGGGATGAGCCTTCAGACTTCAGGGGCATGATTTCAGACCCTGAAATACAGCAAGATCTGCTGATGCGATCAGTAGAATCATCTGAATCATGTACACTGAAGTGAATAGTTACTCAGGTGTAAGCAAGGTTAGACTCCTGTCTGGTGATCTCAGATTCTGCAATAGCATATATAAAAGCCGAACAGGCATTTCTCTCCCCCACCACCCCAGTCTGGTGCTCTCTTACACACACATTTGTCCAAAACTGACAAAACACTAACAATAATAAAACATTTCACTTTTGTCATAATAACTCAGCTGCAGTAATGTAGGAAACGTTTTGCACTTCAGCTTCTTCATCCATGGTAGCATTTTTAGAGGCACATTTTTACTTCACCAAGCTTGTTCTACCGCTTGCAAGACCAGGCACTTTGTATGTTGCAACCATGTAGTACTTCAGCTAAGCAGACTGTTTCTTTACATTTTTATATTTTTCACATCGACACAGATGTTGCTTCCTTCAAAAGATCATCTTCAGCTCGAGCCTAAAACTTGGTCTGAATTAAAAGCACACTTGAAACTTAATGGAAACATTTGAAAACAAAACAGTATAAGCTGTCATTCATTTTGGGCGTGATGTTTCCCTCCTGAAGTGCCTGCAATTAAAAACTACAGCAAAAAAAAGTTAAAACTGAAAGCCTGCCTATATAAAGTAATGGTAGAGCCCCTGCTAGCGCTGCCCAAGTTGGCATGCCCACTTAGTGTGATGCAATGGCACGTAGAGATCCTAGCTGGCATCCTGAAAAGCAGCATTGCTGCATTTGCATGGTGTCACATCTCAGCTAACACCCCTGCTTCTGATGGTCCCAGGTCCAGAACTAAACCTGTCACAGACAGCTTGTGCTGCATCAAGTTGACATAACCTAACGCAGTTTCCACACTGCATAAAATGGAAAGGCAAGCAAAGGAAAAAGAGTTATTTCTTTCTCTCTGTAAGGTCTCCGTATTTAAACAAAGGCATCATTAGTAGTACAACTAGAGAAATTTTGTTGCTGCAAATGCAAATGAAACAAGTTGGTAATACTACTGATTTTGATTGATGATTCAGGTGTTTTGATTGTCAGTGAACACTTCCCTTACCTTCATGTGTGATTTGAGATTGTCCTTGCGTGCACAGCGAAATGGACAGAGTGGACACTGGTGACTTTTCAAACCTGTATGAATCACCATATGCCGTTTCCAGTAACTCTTCCTCTTGATAACCAAACCACAGATCGGACACTGGAAAGGTTTTCCTCCTTCTTCTTCTGAGGCTTAGCAGAAGGGGGAACAAAAAGAGAGGATCCTTACAGCCACTTGTCAAATACTTTCCACTTGTAAACATACTCAAGATATAATTTTTCAGTGGTAGAATTTCATCTGCAACACATCAGTTGACAACAGATCTGACACATCAGTTAAACAACAACATATACCAGAAATTTCAGTTCCTCCACGCAGAATATTCCCTTTCCCCTTAATCTAGTTATTCTCCCTCTAAGAAAGGTCACCATAATTTATAAAGTTAATGTCCCAGACATCCTTTAGCTAATCAGTAGGAGATGCTACTCTATCTCACCTGATCCTAATGTTCCTTATAATTTAACTGAGATGGATGTCTCATAATCACCACTTTGTAGCTTCATTTCATATCAAAAGCTGGTTGTAGTAGGGTATGGAAAATATGCATAACTGTTAAAAACTGATCCATTCCCATATCTGATGGCTAGTCAGCAGGAGAGCTGCTGACTATAAAGCATAGAACAATCCACAACTTAACTGAAAAGCATGCTGGTATGGTATATTGGATATATTTAACTCTAGAAGTGTTAACTTCAGAACCCCTGCTGTTGAAATTGTTTAGTTACGGCTTGAGGAGGTGCTGCTGCCAGCCACTTCAGCCATCCGGGGTCTTTTGGTCATGGGTTTCCTTCTGCTCTTCTAGTTGCCAGGGTTTTAAATCTACTGCCCTTCCTAACGTTTGCATTCTGCTTTACTCCCCAATTCACCTAAGACAGGAAAAAGATTTGGTGGCATTTATCAGGCAAATATGGTTAGTCTGTGGTTAGAGTGTGGAACCATCTCAAGGTTAAAGGAAAGAAAAATTCCTGACTTGACACAACTAACCATCCATTCATCCTCTCATCACGATTTCCTCTGCTTATGATAAAGAAAGGCCTAGTGTTACCATGGAATTGGAAGCCTTTTCCCTCACTGTGAAAGACAAACTATTTTCAGCAATGTTGTACTGAGTTTGGCTGGGATAGGGTTAATTTTCTTCATGGTGGCTAGTCTGGGGCTGTGTTTTGGATTTGTGCTGGAAGCAGTGTTGATGACACCGGGGTGTTTCAGTCACTGCTGAGCAGTGCTCACACAGAGTCAAGGCTTTTCTGCTCCTCACACCACCCCACCAGTGAGGAGGCTGGGGGGCAGAAGGAGCTGGGAGGGGACACAGCTGGGACAGCTGACCCCGGCTGACCAGAAGGATACTCCATACTGTATGGTGTCATGCTCAGCATATACAGCTGGGGGAAGAAGAAGGAAGGGGGAGGACATTCAGAGTTATGGCCTTTGTCTTCCCAAGTAACTGTTAAGTGTGATGGAGCCCTGCTCTCCTGGACATGGCTGAACACCTGCCTGCCCATGGGAAGGAGTGAATGAATTCCCTGATTTGCTTTGCTTGTGTGCGGGGCTTTTGCTTTCCCTGTTGAACTGTCTTTATCTCAACTCATGAGTTTTCTCACTTTTACCCTTCTGATTCTCTCCCCAGTTGCACCAAGGTGGAGTGAGTGAGCAGCTGTGCAGGGGGTTTATGTTGACTGGGGTAAAACCACAACAAGTGTGCATCCTGCTATTTGGAATTTCTCTCACAATATTTAATCTCATTATTATCAGTTCTTTCTTACTGATAAGGATATAGCAAAAATCAAATTCCCTTGATGAGGAACTAAGTGATAAAAACCTCCGGAAAGATCTGTCATATCCTAAAACACAATTCTTGTTATTAGGTAGGAAACAAAAACATTGTAATTCAACTAAGTATCCATTATGTAAGTACAAAAAAGAACACATCATCAAAGCATCCACTTCTGCAAGTTCAGAAATTCTCGTGAAATATTCAATCACAGTCAACATATTATCAAAGCATTCCCCTTCCTGCATCTCTAAAGAGCAAGCCTAAACCAATCCTAGAGTAGCTTGTGTTTCAGTTTTTAAATATCTTTACTTACTAAAAGGCAAGAGAAAGATAAACCACAGAAAAAAAATGTTGGTAGCATTTTTACCTATCATTTCTTTTCCTTCTATCATATCTTTTCTCCAGCCTCTGGTTATCATCAGAAAGGATCCAGAAAAGAAATGTATAACAAGCTATTACCTGTTTTCCACCTAATTAAAAATAAATCTGCAAACAGGATGGATCAATAGTAATTTAGCACATTACAAAATACACAGTAACAGTTTCAGAGGTGACTATGCTCTGATAAGCCATGGCTCCAGCTTCTTACCTGAAATAATTCTGAGCAAATAGCTCAACACAGTGGACAAAAGAGCAGCTAGCATACTCTTGTTATTAACATATTCCTCTTTAAATAGCCTCCATTTTTACTGTTCCTTACTTGTCGACACCTAATTAATCTCACTGAGTATTTATCTCATAACCAAAGCTAGATGTTGCTGGTGGGTAAATGAATCAGATTTGTAACAACAAAGCAAACTCACCAGTGCTTTAAATGTTCAAAGTATGAAAGGGAAAACACCACCTCAAGTTATGCCTACTGGGAAAAGATGACTCTCTCTTGGGAACAAGACAAAAAACTCCCATGTCTCAAGGAGCAATCAGACACACACAAAACCATTATAAAATGAAATACTCTTTTTTGCTTTTAGTGCCATAAGGTTGTAGGTGCACAGGGAATCAGGAACATGTGACATTTATTTTCAGGGCAAATATACATGCTCATCTGCCCTACTCAACTTTCACAGAAGTGAGGCTTTCAATTGGAGGTCACTGAACTGTGACCTCTTTTCGCAAGCTGCATTTGTCCATAGCTGAAGGAATCAAGGAGTTTGGCTTTCCATAATCAACATCCACATATGCTAACCAACAGCTTGCATTTCATTTTCACTCAGTTAATTATTTAGAAAGGAAAAACTTAATAGCATATCAGAAAATGGACTTAAAGAACCTTCATTATGAACGTTACACTATGAAGTTTGCTTAGATGCCAACTGGCATTGGCCCAGTGCATACAAGCTGAAAGGAAACACCCTTCCTCTTGGGATACTAGTCCCACATACTATAAAAAATGAATAGTTGTTCCTTGGTTACCAAGGTCTTGAGGCAGTCAGCCCCCATTTGTTACCTTTTAGCAGCAGTATGGTTGGGCCTTCAGCAAAGAGAACAGTTGCTAGGACCTTGCTGCACCAGAGCTAGTTTATAAAGTGCCAGTCCTAGCAGCACACTTGCACGGTCACACAGAGCACTCCCCTGGGATAAGCTGCACTGACAAAAATAAAGTGCCAGTCCTAGCAGCACACTTGCGCGGTCACACAGAGCACTCCCCTGGGACAAGCTGCACTGACAAACCCCACCGTTTGTTGGTCAAACACAGAACCTGGATTTTACTACAACCATTTACTTTTCCCCAGTAAATACTTATGATGTGAACAGCTTTTCCTCTAGCAGGAAGTAAACTAATAACTTAAAATAAATGTTAACCTCATTCCTCTTCTCTACGTTGCTGCCTTCCTTCTATGAAGGCCAGTCTTCACGGGGAAAGTTACACCAAGTTAATACCCACAGTCACGCTGGTGTAGCCTGCGTGGGTACTCCTATTCCCACATGAAAAGACCTTTTTTTGGGTTAGCTCATGTTACTCCGAAAGGGACTAAATCTACACTAATGAAAACCTTAGGCCAGACCCATGCCAAGAATAGTTTGCCACTTTAATTGCCTTGGCAAATCACACCAGCAAGGCATTTGTAGAACACGTGTAACTCGGAGGACAAATCCAGTACCGGCTGCGCCTCACTGCATCTCTCCCCTTCCTCCTCCAAGGGAGGAACGAGCGTTGCTGTCCATCCAATAGCTGCTACACTCGGAGTTTTTATGAAAAGCTGCACAGGGACAGATGGGACCTCCTGATATCCCTAAACAAAAAGGCCAGGTCAGGAAGATGGCAGTGCAACTATACAATGGCCATGTTGGGCTTCATGTCTGTACCGTCAGGCTAGTATTCCTGCTAAAACTCAGCCTGATAAAGCTCTATTCTACTGAAGCACTTTGTGCATCTTGTGAAGACACCTGATGTGTTTCACTCCACTCTGCAGCAGAACACCGCTGCAGGGAGAACACCGACAACCCCTGAAGCCTGTATGTTCTACCAGAAATATGAATCCATGATGTGAACTTTGTATAGAAAGAGATGAAAGAAATCTTATTTTTCCTTATTTTGAAGATGGATCATTTAAATTTCCCTGCATGACTTGACAGTTCTTGAAAGCTTTTGTTACAAAGACTGTTTCTTCTTATTCCCTATAAGCCTGATTCCTTGACTGCCGACAGGTGGAACTGGTAGAGGGAAGTCAGAAGTGTAAAATGGTTCTCGTTGAGCAAATTAGAGAAATGCAGTTCACTTCTTTTTTTTAATGACAAAGGATTGTAAAAGACCAAAAGTGAGAGTTGTTCACGCTGCTGCAAAAAAAAATTTAATGAAAAGTGGCAACATAATAATATACTCTGGTAAATTAGGACAGGGTAGTAAGCGATTATACAAAAGTCTATTTGTGACAGAGACAGCAGGAGGGAGAATTCTCCCTTGTCCAATATTTCAAAAGCACTAGTTTTGTATGTGCTCACTGACACCATGAGCTCCCTAACAGGGATTCTTTTATCTTCTCCACTAAATATTTTTGTGGACTTATTCTGAGCTTGGTGAGAGGGGCAAATACCATTGTATGGAATAAAAATAATAATAAAAAAAGAGTACTGAACTGTACACTCATATCTTTCAAATATGAAAACATTCGTGACAGTTTGGTCTTCAAGTGCTATTTTAAAAAGCTTTTCTATTGTTTACCTAAAGTACCTATTTCTTACTCTCATAATACATGGAATCAAAACAGATCCAGACCCACTGAAGAGATGTTATATCAGCCTATAGCAAAACAAATACATTGTACTTAACGGCTCAAACTGTATCCATACCTGTAGAAGTGGGTTTGGATGCTCTTCCCTTAGGGACTGGCAGCAACAATAATTCCAAAGACTGTGGTGGAGTTGCTTTCTCTTGCTTCATCTCTGAAAGCTGAAGGGGATCCTCAGCAACCAGTGACTTCTTTTTCTCAGCCAACAGGGTGCCTGCAGCCCTTGCAGCAACCTCCTTGAGAAGGGCAGCTGAAGAGGTCATGGAAGCCAGAGAAAGGAAAGAACTAGCCGGAGGCGGGTGCTCCTGCCCAGGAGTCATGCTTCTTTCACTCACTTTCTTAGATAAAGCTGCTAACGTGGAGCTGGCTGACTGAGAACTAAAAGGCGAGGAAAAGGATTCAAATCTTATTGGGTCTTCAGTCCTTGAAAGAGATTTGTCCTGCAGAACGGCATTGGCTGCAGCTTTCAGTTTCAGGATAGCTGAATCAGGGGACAAACTACAGGTGGTGGTTGAGTTTGGCAACCACTTACCTTGATTCCATATAAAGTGACCGCTTGCATTGTATTGGTCACTTTGTTCCTGTTTCTCAGCAAGCTTTCTGGCAAGAACACTTAGCTGCTGGGCATGATGAGCAGGTGGCGAGAAGGAGAGATTTGAGCCAAGATTTACAGGGGACTCGACTCTGCCATTGACTGTAACAGCAGCATCCAGCTTGAGGGAGCCAGCCTCCAGCAGCCGCCTCAGGTTACTACTCAGTGGCTTATTTGGACCAGGAGGTTCTTCTTCACACAGAGAAGACACATCAGGAGAAAGGTGCTCTTTGCTCTGTAGTGTATCTCTTAGTGCCTCATTTTCAATGGTTCCCACCTCTGCTGCATTGCTGCTAGGAGTTGCACTTCCCAAAGAAGTATCTGGGGAAGTGGACTGCTCTGCAATTCTGTCCTCAGGAGACAACTTAAAGTTCTCCTGGACTTCTCCATATGATGCTTCTGAAGGAGTTGCTGAAGAATTTCCAAACCAGCGTTCTTCTTCACTGAGCTCACCTTCCACTTCTTCCTGTCTGGTACCATCTGTGTGGAACCAAGAACAGCAGTATTATTACCAAATCTGCATAAAATAAGGCGTGAAGTATATGCCTGGCCTCTGCATGACCCTCCTGAACAATCACCTAACATTCCTCTAAAGCATGTGGATTTGGCATCATCCTGGATTGACTGACCAGGAAAAAGGTTTTTTGAAAATTACTGAGTCTTTCTTTGAAGACAAAATCATGACAAGCCCATCATCTTTCAGTCAGCATAACTAAAACAGCTAAAACTGCAACAATACAAATGTACATAACATATATGCAGATATTGCAAGTATTTCATTATCAGTATAGTCTGTACATCCTGCAAAATATTATGAACTCTGTGGTATAAAGCAGGGATTTAACAGGCCCAGAAATTACTGCATACTTGTGTCTTCGAACAGCTAGCACCTGTTCAAAGTGGCTACACACCTCCAGAAGCAGATCAGGTGTGTAGCTACTCAAAGTAGTCTCTTACAGTGACTAAATCTCAGCCCAATCCTGCAGTGACCCCTACTCTAAAATAAAATCAAATCTGTACTGACAATTCATTACTGAATACCTGAAATGACTAGTACATGGATGCAGGCTAAAGCTTTCATCTCTCCAACTATTTGGAAAAGGAATAGCACACATAAACCTAATCTTTGGGGTAATTTCATCTTATATAGACACTGTTTGCTTGTCACTCTTCATTAATGTTAAAGTCTTAAGGATCATCCTAAACCGAACTTACCTTAGCTGGGGGAAAAAAAAAAAAAGAGAAAAAAAAAAAGAAAAAAAAAAGAAAAAAAAAAAGAAAGAAGAGTGTTGGTCTTAATGCCCTTAGTTACGTTTTCTCGTCTCTGGCAACCACAACACATCTACCCTCTGCTGAGACCCAGCTGGCAGTGTCTAAAGCACTGTGACCCTGGATTGCTCTTTTTCCTGACAGGTACCCAAACTCACACAGACATGGGTAACGGTGAAGCTCCCAAGACTTTTTTTGCAGATCTCCCTGGCCAATCAGATCATAATCAAGAAAAACAGCAATGCTAGAATTAAATTCATGTTATCTTCACTTGCTAGATACCTCTCACATTTCTTGCTTTTAGATTCAATGTCCCAAGCTACAAAAGAATCTTTGTAATCATACTAAGGCAAAACAAAAGAATTTAATATAACCCTCCACTGACGTGCTGGAAATAAAGCCTACATGATATGTACTGTATCTATGATCATGTATTATTCCCAGATTCCCTATTTAATTCTGGCAAACTACAAAACTTGGAGACAAATTGATGAAGAAAAACGCAGATTTATATTATTGCTTTGATACAATGAATTTAAGGAGGAAAAACCCAGCCAACTGCATCAGAAGTGTAGAGATACCAACATATACTCTGAAAGAAAATATTATTTTTTTTAGTGTTATACAGGATACGAGGAATAGTCTCTCACAGTAAGTTCCTTTTACTCAAAACCCTTAGGAAAAAAATACAGCAATGTTTCAAGAGCCCACAATAAAACCACTCAGTTACCTTAGATTAGTAATCTAAGCAGAAGAGGGCTAGCATCTTTCCTATTCAAAACAAACAAAAGCCAAGCAAAACCCAAAGCACTTAAAATTATTTTGATATTATCCAAGTTAACACCACAGACACGGCAAGATTAACAATAACATGCACACAAAGGCCGCTACCACGCACATTCAAATAAAGAAGATACATGCTTCTCAGCTGAGCCAGCACTTACACGGGTTAAAGGACAACAGAATGTATTCCCCTTTTCACCCCATGAACATCATAAAAGCAACTCGAGGCATGTCTGTATAGTTTGGTGCAGTCAGATGAGAGATCCATCCACCCGCCCCAGACGCAAGCAAGTTCTGGACTGGAAGCCCAAAAAGCACCTTACTGGCACTTTGCCTGAACAGATTTACCAAGAGCAGGGCACATCCCCTGGGACACAGCCTGGAGCTCACACCACTCCACAGCTGCTGAGCCAGAGCTATCCTGCATCCTACCATTCACATCCGTGGGTCTGCTTACATCTCTCTGTGTTAAAACATGTCCCCTGCTCTCCAAACCCTACTTTGTTTGTGGCTCTCCCCCTCACCCATAAATAGGGAGGGAGAATTGCATTTCCCTTCATGCAGAAAGTCATCCAAAAATTACAGTTTGAGAGATATTTAATTGTAAATTGTTACAAGAAGAAATGGGTTTCTGGTTTACAGAAATCTCCAGCTTACTAAACCCAAAACTTCTCTGTTCCTTGACATCTACATCAATTTCTTAACGTTGATATGTTTCCTAGTTGTAACCAGCCTTTAAAATACCAGTTAAATAACAATGTTTTACAAATCTCACAATGTTGCTCATCCTACCTGCACTGAAAAGTAATTCTTCCTCCTCTCCTACACCTGTTTTTGCTCTAACCATAAAAGTAATGTCCCGCATACATTTTCACTATCTATCCCTCCTCTCTAAAGCTGACATCTTGGGGAACACTCACAGTAGCTGAGAAACAGGACACTGGTATTTAAAGTTGATGGTAACAATGGGGGGAATGGAACTACATCTGCTAGGGGAGAGCTGCAATACAGCTTTCCTCCACAGTAACACAACTACACTATGCCTGGAACCAAAAAACCAAGGCAGCGATAGCAGAGGAGATAAGAACAGGGCACGGATTGCCTTTCCTTTTTCCAGACATGCACATTCTCCATTGGTCTTGCCTATATGAAGGGCAGCCACCAACATTTTACTGACAGGGCGCAGCAGGAGTGCGATACTCCTCATTTAAAGGCTTGCTACCAAGCCCAGAATTTCCCTCTTCTTTGGGTAACGCAGTGAGAGCTCCCCCTCCTGTTGCTAATCCACCTGTAACCACTCAAACACTCTCAGACCTTCAAACCACCTCTGTAACACAGGGCAACTTTCCTCTGCAGCACCTCTGTCCCAAAAGCCAGCTGGATCTTCTTTTTTCCACCAGAGCAGGTTCTTTCTGTACCCAGAAACCAGAGTTCTAACTGCTGACACAGGTCTGATTTTCCTCTTCTCAGTAATTCCCTCAGCTGCTGCAGTATCAAGTCCGCTGTATTTGAGGTTGTAAGGTTAACACTGAAAAAGCCAGCATCAGTGTCTTACCATAAGCTCAGTCAAACCTCCTTTTGAACACTAGTGAATTGGTTTAGAAGCATAACGGTGAAGGCTGGCCATTTCATTTCGAAGCAAAGTCGCCATTCAAAGCCTTCAGGGCAGGATTTTAATTCATATTGACTTGTGAGACTGTGAGTTTGAACAAGCTTGTGAACTCCAGGAGAAACCAGCCCAATCCACCAACCTCCCTCTGAGTTCAAGTCAAATAAAACCTTCCCTCAGAACTCAGAGGGTTCATGGGACACCCAGACCAGGTTTGTCTGAAGCAGGAGCCAACCTCCGTGTGTCCGTCAAGAAGCTTCAGCTGTTTCTAAGGTCTGTGGCAGAAGATATGCATGACATGTTTTTCCCTTCTCTTGCAACACAGCTAAGGAGCTCCAGTGAAAAGTCCTTGAAAGCTAGAATAGAAACGTAACACCACATCTAAATTTCTTCTCTCCACCATAAACACACCACAGTTTGTTATTACAGAATTACTTACGAATGTTAAGCTACTGGCATTGCATTTCTATTGCAGCTTAAAATCCTAAACATGGGTAAGAAACCACAGAGAAGCTGCAAAGCAAGGAAAGGTGACTTCACACCGACTTCATTTGGAACAAGACCTGGCTGGGAATCTCACCAACTTTTACCAAATAACTGCTCATCAGATTGCCTCTTCTCAGCATGAGTCAAGAGTCAAGAATGTCAGTGCTCCTCTTTCCTCATCTCCATGGCAGTTCTGGAGGGAGAACCGCTTCCCAAACCATTTGCCCCTGGCAGAGGCTGGTGGGAGTTACAGGTGTCCTGTATGGACAGGACTGCCCCATCCCACAGCGCCCAGGAGCCTCACACAAGTACCTCCCACTCCTGTCAGCGACGACAAACGCACCACAATACTGTTGGGCAACTGCTGCCACTGATGGAGCCCCATATCAAACAATTTCTGGCAAAGCCACAAATGTGCCCAGAAACACTTACGAAGTGCCAGTTTCCCTCGCTCGCCCGCTCGTCTGCTTGTTTTGAAATACGGAAAAGTTCTGTTTCCTCTTCAAGAGATCAGTTTGAGAGACAAATCTTATTGATCCTGAAGTATGTTATTTCACTCTGTGAGCATCTGCCCTTTTACTTAGAGTAGTGATTAGAATTTGGCCCTGATATGAATAAAAATGTAAATATTACCTTGCTCACACTACTTACATCTGAAAACTGAAAAAGACAAACACGTCTGTTCATTTATATACTGAGCTGGAAACTTTAACAGTACCAAATGTAATGTACACATGCCGTTCATGGAAGTGGCAAGGGTGAGATGATCCACAGCTCCACTTTGTAGGACTTGGAGTGGCAAAATATGAATGTAGCAGGCTAGATCTAGAAACAGTCCGTGCAACACAACGAAGAGTCTCCGAGCTGTGGCACTGAGCAACAGACATGGGCAGTGAAAACATGCTTGAAAGAACACCTTTTGGAACAGCAGAGATTATCTAAGAAGAGGCTACAGTTAAAGAACCCACCCCAAGGAGACTAAATTTTCATGTAAGAGGGAGAAAATTTCTCTTTAATCATTCAGTGCAACGAGTAAACGAAAGAACTTCAGAAGAGAATTAACATTGCAAATCCATATGCTACAGTGATATAAACATATGGAAATTGTAATTATGAGATTACAGCATGAAAATTAAAACAAATATAAAAAGTAGGTAGCAGTCAAATAATTTCAAAAAACCTGCATAGGAAAATCGCTGATGAGATAAATTAGGTAAGATTGCCCTAATTTCAGCAGTTACATTTCAAGAAAAATCCGGGAATCTACAGGATCAGGATTTAAGGGGAGAGGAGCGCCAAGCCGCATATTTATTATCTTTATATCAAATATCTTGATCTTTATAAGGATTTCAGATATGATCATTCAAGTTTGTGTCAATGTAAATAAGGTTACAATTGCATTTGTTCTCTATTTGTCACCTAGGTTATCTTCCTAATTTGTTCCCCAACAGCTTATCTTATTCCATCTCCAACCCCTATCGTAAACCATTCCCTGTATTTTCTTATACTGAACACTACTGCAAGAGTGAGGATTA